AAGTTCTCCTAGGTAGAAATGAAAGTTCATATTCCATAGAATATGGAGTAGGTGGAAGCAGGCGCATTCTCCCTCAGCAGGAATGGTTCCAGGATGGTTTCTGCAGCAGGCTCCCCCTCCCAACCAGCTGACTGGCAGGAGAGGGAAATCATTCTCCTGCAATGCACCCTTGTTCAGGAAGGATCCCCTCACAGGAGAATTTCCTCCTCCTCCAATCAGGTAATTGGCAGGAGAGTTGGATATTTTTCAGCGCATGTTCTCCTCAAGGCTTGCTAACAGCTCACCCCTGGGTGGGCTATCAGTGAGACTGTTTTCCCTTCTTCTCTTCTGGCAGGAGGAAGGAAGAGCAGAGAACTATGAGATACTGGGTTTCCTCTGCACTCAAGAGAAGAGTCGTTCACATCAAAATCGGGACGAGGAAGGATATCTTCCTGGCAGATATCCAATCTATCTTCTTGCAGAAGTGCCTGTTCTCTTCCACAAGAAATACCTTGAATAGCTGTAAGGGTGTAGGTTGTAGCCATGCTGGTCTAAGGACATAGGCAGACAAGGTTCTTTGGGTGAATCTGACATCTTTTATTAGACCAACTTAAATAGTTGGAAAACAATTATTAAGCAAGCTTTCAGGTTCAAAAACCCTTCATCAGGCTAAGGAAGTTTCAGCAGTTGATGTGTGCTCTTCCTGGATGGAATGAAAAGTAAAGAACCTGTCTTGTATGCAGACCAGCCCAGCCTCTGTCGTCTTTACTTTTCATTCCATCCAGGAAGAGCACACATCAACTGCTGAAACTTCCTTAGCCTGATGAAGGGTTTTTGAACCTGAAAGCTTGCTTAATAATTGTTTTCCAACTATTTAAGTTGGTCTAATAAAAGATGTCAGATTCACCCAAAGAACCCTGTCTGCCTTGAATAGCTGTACACTCTCTTTTTGTGCAGAGAAAAAAGGCTTCTCTCTCAAACCCAGCACCTGTTCACGGCCTCTGTCGCCTTACCATTTTTTGTTTTGCTTGTTATAGGACACATTAAGGCAACAGAACATTTCTGTGTGACCTTGATTTGGACTCAAGGCTAACCATGAGCTCTACCTCAAAAAAAGGAAAAAAGGCAGATTACTAACACACTTCCTCATTTAGACTCAACTTCTATCTTCTATCCTACCTCCTATGCAAGTGCCCTAAATCACTACGCTATTGTGCAAAAGGTAGGTACAACCTCCTTGGCCATGACAGGCTAAGATGGAGAGCTACAAAAGTAGATATATTAACAAATTTCTAGATAATTGAGCAAGGTAGAATAGGATCATGGTTAGCGATGTGCATCCTTAGATGCTGTATAACTGCCATTTGGCCATCTTAGAGGTGGCATCTAATGATTTGGGAACTCTGTGCACACTTACAAGTTCTTATCATTTTAAAGACATCTTATTTCATTTGTGGTTCGGGGTATGTTGAACTCACCATCTGCTGCCATGGCTGCGTAATGTATCTTCCACATAAGGGGCAAAGAGGATTGGTAAATGGTGAGAGATCCCATTCAAATGGAAGCACCTTGGGACAATGGCCCACATTCATAAAGCCATCCTTCATAAAGCCAGTTTTTCCAACCTCTCCAAAGAGGGCTGAGGTTTAGAGATTGGAAATTCCCTACACAGGAGAATGAAGAGATCAGGTATTAGCATGGGTTCTTAAAGCCACCGAACTTGAGATACTTGGGGAAACCCAGAGGGACCAACAGACAAGAAGTTTGGGCAGGAGAAAGAAACAAACTGTCTGCTTTTCTTTAAAACAAAACCCAAACCAAAAACACACACACACACAAAGAGAGCCCACCTGAGAAAGAGGGAAACTGGCCACACTAAAAGCACCCCATGATTTTGAGAACTGATAAGTATGAGACAGGATCCTAGACTTCTCAGAGGCTTCTGACCTAAACCTAAGGAAGTTTCAGGAAATGTGTACAGGAAGTGTGTACAGTGATTTATGTTTTGTGCTGACTAAAGTAAAGCATAGTTGTTTGGGGAACCCTTACAATTATGTGCATCTCTGCTTCAACTATCACATGCCTCTAATGAAGTGAATTGCAAACCCACAGCCCGCAGAAGACAGAAGTGCTGAGAAAGGCTGAACTTAAGCTACTGGGTGTATAAACACTAGTCCCCGTGGCCTAGGGCAGCTGAGCTGACTTGGAAGCAGCCATGGGAAATTTGCCACTGACTTCATATAAAGCCTACTGGGTTTCTAAAGGAGATGCAATTGAAACAACCATGGGCCATAATTTATTGAAATCTGGTAGTGGAAGGTCAAACACCTACCATCAGCTTAAGACTACTCCTGAAATCAGTGGGGATCTTACTATTGGAAAAGTAAACTGCAAAGAAAACAACGTGTTTCAGATTCTATCTTATTTGTCTGACATATCTGGGCATCTTTTGGCCTGCACATAACCAAAGCCATACTGAAAATTAAGCAGTAGCTCCTTGTTCAACCCCTCATCAACAGGACTCTTTATTAAAACAAATATGCTTGGACTGCAGGGACAAGAAGAAATACTGAGCTTAAATTTGCAGTTACATCAATGTTGGTCTGCTTTATTACCACATTGACTGCTACAAAGTTCTCAGACAATAGGAATATTGCCGATGCCACGCTACCATATTATAGTCATACCAAAAGCAGAAATCTCCACTTATCTTACCATTCTCTTGGTCTAGGAAGATAACTGCTAAACAAAAACAAAATAAAACAACACACACACATTACAACTTCAAATGAGGCATGAAGACAGAAAAAGATGAGAGTTGAAAAAACAAAGACACTGTTTTCATGGAAATGTCTTCAGAATTAAAAAGGAAGGAATGGGAGAGAGAAAGATATCAAAACTACTCTGGTGTAAATCTCAAGTGGTACTACTGAAATCTAACAGGTCACTTGGGATTTAAACAAGATTAAATGAGATCACACAGAGGCAAACAGAACACCTTCCAAAGTTATCTAGGAGGTATCAGTCATTTACAAAATGCCCATAGTTACCTGGGAAGTTTTTGACTACAGTATTTTAATAATTTTAGTGCTAATGAGAGAGAAGGGAAGGAGAAATGCTACAAGTAATATGCTATAAACTTGTGCTTTTTAGCACTACTATTAAAAAAACAACCCAATCAGACAGTATAAAATAGCCATGAGGCCAATATAGAGTTTATGGATACATAAACTGTTACACAAACACAGGAAGATTCATTAGGGCGGTTTCAATATGGCAATACCAGCCAGCCCTCCCCACCACCACCACACAAACAAAAATCAATGTGGAGAGTGCAAGAGAGGTCACTACCATCCAATGTGGATCCTCCTCAGTTTTCTGTTTCACATCCTCTTTGCAAGATCTCTATCACAGTTGCCACCTTTATAGTTAGAGGGGAATACATTATCCAGCAATATTGTCTGGACCTTGCATTTGTACTAGAACCTTTCAAAGGGGAGGAAAATATCTGACAAGCAAGACATTGTTAAACATTGAGTGCACGCTGTATACAAGTAGTCCTCACTCTTTCCCCTGTATTGTTGTTCACATAAACATGGAAAACTGCCTTTGTAGTAAAAGCACAGAAGTTGGCAGGGGGACTCAAAGACAAATACAACACCCTAAATTACTTCTCTTTTTTTTTTTTTTAAAGAAAATTTCATATACTATATATTTAACAAAAAGAGAAAAAAATTAAAAATCAGTCATGAATACTGTAGCTACCTCCATAATTCTGTCCATAACTGCTAAACATCAGATTACAAAAGCAGAGCAGTCTATAGATCCGAGTTCAGAGCTTCACTTCAAAACACGTTACAAACAAGCAGAATTAACTTTCTTTCATAGACTCACACACTGAAAGGTTGACAGGATTATTATGGCCTATATTTAATTTCATGACAGCATTAACAGTTTCATTACATAAAATATGCAAACCCAGACTCTGACTGAAGTTGGACATGGTTTTGAGAAAGACAATAAATGATGACAAATTCATCATACCTTTAGTGAAATTATGTTATTAGTTAACTACCCTCATTGTTTTTTAAAAAAAAAAAAGGCCTCATTTCTATTCTGAATGTGTCCAACTTCAACTTTGTCTGCTATCATCAAATACACTCCCCATTGAAGTACTTAACAACCATGTTCAAGTCACCTCCTAACCTTCTTTTTTGTTAAGCCACATACACTGAACTCCTTTAATCTTTTACTGTAAGGCAGTTTTTTTCTGGACCTTGAATCATTCTTGGAGCTTGCTTTGAAGCCTCTCTAGTTCATTAGCATCCTTTCTGAAATGTGGACACCAAAAAATGGAGACAATGTTTCACCAAAAAATGGATACAATAATCGTCCACCTGCTTCCGTATTTCTATTTGACATTAATTTGTTTATACATCCTGTTAGTATTTCCTCTTAATTAATGCACCATACTACAAACATACAACTATCTATCATGACCCTATATCTTTCTAAATCACATTCCTCTTCCCATGGATATGACCTACAGTTTGGGTTCCTAACCAGAAATACAATAAGTATACATTATAAAAAATGTATATAAAATGTATAATGTAACATTTTATATTAATGTTATAGTTCTAACTATACAGAATTTTAACATTAATATAAAAGCAGTCATAAATATTAATATATTGTATATTATGTAATGCCAAAATAATTTGAGATCTATCAGTTAGGCAGTTTTTAGTCAAGTTAGTATGTGCTGGAATGATTTTGCATTGCGCTATTAGAACATTATGTCATACCAAATCAAATACCATAGGAGAGTATTAATTAGGATATATCGACAGTTACTTTTATCACTCCAATCTCTAATTTTATCAACTAACAATATCAGTTTCTTAAACATAATTGCTTTTTAAGGGGAATTTCCTGTGAAGGGAACCATGACATGCATAATGCACTGGGCACAAATCTTTTATGATTTTTATAGAATTTCAACTTAAGCCATTTCCTACCACAGGAAGTTGACTTTTTGTCCACCATCTTCACATGCCGAGTTTGATTGCGAAGCTTGTCATCTGTGTTTTCTACTAAATTGGTTAGGTCATCAATGATCTCTGGGGGAAAAAGCAGCAAGACACAACATTAGTATCTGATCTTCTTTGCATCATATCTCAACACACACAATTCTATCAGGCTGTGAAATGGAAACCATCTGCACCCTTTTGTTTTCCAATACTGTAGACAAGTATTTTACAGTCCTGGGACAACAGCAGGAATTAATTTAAAGAACACATGAATTTAAAGGTGCAGTATTGCTCAGGATTTGTGATGGGACAACAGGTCTATCTAAGCACCTTCAGTTACACCGTTAGCATGCTTTTCCTCACAAAAATAAAGAGAAAGCAACCTCACAGTAGAGAGAGCCTGAAACAGCAGTTCATTATAGATAACTATACCACAGAATTATATTTACCACAGAATTTTAAGCATTTTTTTTTCCTCCATACAAATGACTCAAGTAGGGTCCCATGACATCCTGGGGTGCTGCGAGATCACTTTAAGAGTACTGTGGAGTACCATAAAAATTAGTACTCTTAGGAGTGCAAACACCTGTACATGATTCACAAGATAAACCTACAGATTTCAAACAGGAAATCATAGCATCACAACATTCTAACCTGCAGTGGTCTTTCTGACTTCTCTGCAACAGAAAATTGTTCTATTATTTTTCTACAGTCAAAAAATGAGTGAAAGCTAAAACCTAGCATTTTCCCTAGGTGTCCGAAGTCTAATGAGGAGTGCCTTGGGTCTAAAACAAGGTTGACAGCCACTGGGCTATGCCGTTCTTACTGCAGATCTACCACAACAGAAACTCTAATAAATTATCAATAAAATGGCAACAGCCAAAATTTATTGCTCTTTCATTTCACCCAAGTGTCACAAACAGGACACGAACAAATCTGAATGCACAGAAGTAGCTTATCTTCTGGTGATAAGAGAAAGAATCACATGCAATTAATTTTCCAGAAACACTTCTATTTTCCTGAAGGTCTGATTCCTGTTGATAAATAGTCAGCCAAAGAAATCATTAATTTTATTCCCTGGAATATGGCAATCCTGAATCCAGGATTTGGTTGACAGTCACAGAAAGAGGTTCACAGTAACTGAGGTTTTTGAAAATGCTTCGGAAAGCATCCTGAAGTGGTCTCATTCTAGTGATCCCAGCAGACCAGAATAAATCTCACATTGTTTCAATTATTGCAATCTGCACATGGCACTCCAGTTTATAGTCTAGTTGTTCTTTAAAACAAAGCATTGTGCTCACCAAAAGCAACCTCTCTGGAACATACTTTTTACTGCAGGGGTGAAAAAGCCAGCATATTCTAGGCCACACCCTGTCCAGCCCAACGCACTTCCTGAATTTATTTTTGCCCTGCAAATCAGAGTGCTTTAAAAGGCCTGGATTGAGATTATCAAAACTTGGTTCCTAAAGTTAAAGCAGTATTTCCACATCCAATAACCTTCTAACTAGATGGCATACCCAGAGGTTGTTTAGTAAATATATACATGCTTCTTATTTCTGGAATTGTGAATCCCCTACATTTCAACTGGTTTCCATCGTGTGGTTAAGGAATAAATGTGTGAAAAATAAATTAAATCAAATAGTATAAGTTATCAGGAGGACAGCAGCCAGAAACTGAGTAAGGTTTCAACACGTGTCTCTCTGGTTATATCTTGCAATCTCCCTGCTATTGATCAACATCTTAATAAATTCAATTCCATGTCTTTTCCAATAAATTCTGAGCTTGCTGGAGTTCAAACTGGCAGGTGGTGAGATGGGAAGTCATTTGTACACAAACAGATCCTAGTATTGTATTTCTCAGTTATAGCATTGATGAAACGTCAAGACTTATAATGCACTGTTAGAAAGAGGGGAAAAAAAGAAAACCTCCCAAAAAAGCATACCAGATTCAAGTGTGTTACACTTCTAACACAAAAGTATTCGCAGCCTTTTAATTTTTCAATAAATATAATACCTTCTTTACACTGTGGCTGTGAGTTATATAGCACAATTCCTGCAGTTTAAGACCTTTATCACTGACTGCATTATAGAAAGAAATCAGACTATTTTAAACCACAGATTTCCCTAGTTTCTCTCCTTTAGGGGGACAGGTGGTTACACTAATGGTATGTTAGGCTGTGCTATCAAGGTTTCCAGCTAACTTGAACAGGAATTCTTCAACATGCAAGGAATGCAGAAGAAGGTGCCTCCTCCAACAACTTCTGGAACACTTTTTCATAAATTCTGAGCTGAACATTAGTTTTGCATCAGTATATGAAAGGAAAATTGCACATTTTTTGCATCAAAAGATAAGTTACATTTCTTATGCATATTTTGCATTTTTTGGTATTCCCTCCTACACCAGCTGTGGAGAAATTATAAACGAAAATACAGATATAAAACTTATTTCTTGACCAAATGAATGGATTCTGTAAAAGTTTAAAATTAGTGTACTTTGCAATGTTCCTCACATATGATTGGGCAAACTATTACGACAATGTGACAGCTTTCCAAAAGCCAGCAAGGCAGTGTGGGGCTTTTACCTTTCATGGGAAGTCAATAGGCATCTTACTGTCATTTGTACCTTGTTTGTTTTCAGGATGTAACTTTTTGGACAAAAAAAATTAATCAATCATAGTATCATCTCCACTCCATACTTACATACAGAGCTGACCCTAGGGGGATGCAGGGCCCAGGACAAATCAGCATGTGTGGAGCCATGGTACCTCCACAAAGTGTGGGGGGGAATGGGGGGGGGGGG